ACAAGAAAGTAAAAAAGGAAATTCCACATTCTCTTGCTTCAGAATAGAGCCTTTTGCACAGTATTTTGAGATGAAGGAAGTGGAAGAGAATGTGAAGTAGGAGGAATGTGCTTGGGTGTATGAAATGGGTGTATTCATGAGAAAATAAGGAAGCTTTTCAAAGATGTTATAATCTTGAGCTCAAGGACACTGAAGCTATTTAGTGCACAGATAACACCTGAAAAATTGAATAAAGGAGAGAGGTGAATAAATGTCTGTTTAAAAATTATTTATTCATTTATTTATTTATTTATTCATGCATATATAACTGGGGTGAAGGCCAAAGGTACAGGGGCCATGAAAGGATTCACCAGACAGAGTGGGAAGGGAACAGGCAGATTGACTGAAATACACTGCTGAGGGGAGCAGTGGATAAGTCAGGAAGGATCTGTCACCCCATGTGTGTTACCAACCTGGCTGGGATCAAACTCATGCTCTGACTGCAGACAACTTCATAGTGCTGTGCTGCACTTTAACCCATTGTGCCACTAGGGAAGGCCCTGTGACATAACTTATAACAGCTAATACTTGTAGAGAATAACCATATACTAAAGTCCTTCATATGCAATATTATTTGAGTTGCCATAAGACAGTTAAGTAAATTAAACATGATCATCATTATCCCCATTCTGCTGGAGAAGAAATGACTGTACATAAGTGCTCTGTGCACTATTACACACCTGCCAGGTAATGAAATTGATGCTGAAATTTTGCTCTGACTCTAAACTCAGTGTTATTAATCAAGGGGTAGTGTAGTGACTCCTGTGGTTGGAATAATGGGATCTATTTTATTTTTGTTCAAATGAAGATATATACATACATACACATATATATACATCCATACGTTATGTTCGTATATATCTTCTTTTGGACATTTGTGTGTGTGTGTGTGTGTGTGTGTGTGTAGAGAAAGGGAGAGAGAAAGGTAATCAAAACATGATTTCAAAGAGATATATGCACTCCCAGGTTTATGGGATTTTTTTTTTTTTGGTTATTTTTATTTCCATGCTTTGAATACTTGTAGAACCAGAAAAGAATGGTGTTTGCCATTGCCTAAGAGCTGGGGGAAAT